AGGGCCCAGCTGTGTCTGTTGCACCATTTAAGAATTTAGAGAGTTTCCTGAAAGGCAGGCAATGACGCTGACTGTGTACCAGATTTGTACTGCTATCATGATTCTAAAGGCTTCAAAAAATATTGGCCCAGTGCAGGTCTTAATGAGGTCAACAGCAGAACTGTTGTTGATTTTATTGGACCCACAATTTGGCCCAATGGGAATAACACATGTGAGATATCAAAAATGGGAGGACACTTGGAAAAGGATCTAGGGGTCATAGTGGATCACAAGCTAAATATGAGTCAACAGTGTAACCCTGCTGCAAAAAAACAAACATCATTCTGGGGTGTACTAGCAGGTGTGTTGTTAGCAAGATACAAGGAGTAATTCTTCCACTCTACACCATGCTGATACGGCCGCAGTTGGAGTGTTGTGTCCGGTTCTGGGCACCACATTTCAGGAAAGATGTGGACAAATTGGGAAGTCCAAAGGAGAACAACAATTACTAAAGGTCTAGAAAACATGACCTATGAGGAAAGATTGAAAAAAATTAGTTTTGTTTAGTCTGGAGAAGAGATGACTGGGGTAGACATTTTCAAATATAGAAAAGGTTGTTACAAAGAGAAAAAAATTGTTCTTTAACCTCTGAGGATGGGACAAGAAGCAATGGGCTTAAATTGCAGCAAGGGAGGTGTAAGTTGGACATTAGGAAAAACTTCCTAGCGCTCAGGGTGGTTAAGCATTGGAATAAATTGCCCCAGGTGGTTGTGGAATTTCATCACTGGAGCTATTAAAGAGGAGGTTAGACAGACACCTGCAGGGATGAGATCAGTGTTTCTCAAGCTTTTTTTGTATAAGGTACCCATCTTTAAAAAAAACCTATAAGTAACCCCAGTACCTACAGTTTTAAGACACACACCATTTTTTTTTACATAAGAACATAAGAATAGCCACACTGGGTCAGACCAAAGGTCCATCCATCCCAGTACCCTGTCTGCTGACAGTGGCCAATGCCAGGTGTCCCAGAGGGAGTGAACCGAACAGGTAATAATCCAGAGATCTCTCTCTTGACATCCATCTCCATCCTCATACAAACAGAGGCTAGGGACACTATTCCTTACCCATCCTGGCTAATAGCCATTTATGGACTTAACCTCCATGAATTTATCTAGTTCTTTTTTAAACCCTGTTTAGTCCTAGCCTTCACAACCTCCTCAGGCAAGGAGTTCCACAGATTGACTGTGCGCTGTGTGAAGAAGAACTTCCTTTTATTTGTTTTAAACCTGCTGCCCATTAGTTTTGTTTGGTGGTCCTATATTATGGGAACAAGTAAATAACTTTTCCTTATTCACTTTCTCCACACCACTCATGATTTTATAGACCTCTATCATATCCCCCTTAGTCTCCTCTTTTCCAAGCTGAAAAGTCCCAGTCTCTTTAATCTCTCCTCATATGGGATCCGTTCCAAACCCCTCATCATTTTCGCTGCCCTTCTCTGAATCTTTTCTAATGCCGGTGTATCTTTTTTTAGATGAATTTTTCTACCACTGCAACACATTGGTTTAAACAACTTAATCGTAGCCGAGCGTGTGATGAAATTTTTGGATGTAAAATGTACAAAAATAATAAAGCGCTGTAAAACTTAAAACAAAATTCAATTTTCTCCAAATTTCAGTTGTGTTGATGTACCTCCCCAACTTCTCTTGAGTACCCCTAAGGGTACTCGTACCACTGGTTGAGAAGCACTGATCTAGATAATACTTAGCCCTGTCATGAGTGCAGGGGACTGGCTGGGAAGACCTTTTGAGGTCCCTTTCAGGCCTCTGTGTCTATTGGTGGCCCACGGAAGGAAACAGAGGTTGGGTTACAAGCAGTGATTCCCACAGCTCTGAGAACATGCTCTCACTACAACTACACCAGAGCCCATAGCGATCCTGGTCCAGGTTAACTCAAACAGACGTGGTCCATCGTGCCTGCATCTAACAGCTCAATTCAGACACTCCTCCCATAGAACCAAGAAATGAAAGCATCCTGCATTGCAGCATGCTGGATCCAATGGCATGTTTAACCTGCTCGTTATAAATAATTGGCCCCCATTGGGACATTTGCCTCATGCTCCACAGGCCGCCCGCACTGTTCAGCAGCTGTTGAGAACCACAGCTGGGATTCCTGGTCCTGGAAGGAAAAAAAAAAAAGAGGTTTTGGTGGAAAGTTCTGATCATCACATAAGAACATAATGGAGAAAGGGGCCAGATTCCTCCCTGAGACAGCTCTGTTGACTTAGATTGATTTGCCCTAAATACTTTCCTCTTGGATTTAATCATAGCTGATAAAGGTTTGGCCTAATAGCAGCAGATTGGGGTTGTGTGTGAACTATGCACCGAAACAGATTATGGTCCTGATTCTGCTCCCAGCTCCATTGGTGTGAATTGGGAGTAACACCATTGAAGTCAGTGGAGTTAAAATGCTGCAAGGAACATCAGAATCAGGCCCCCTGTAGGTTATGCATTAAACTAATATGCATTTAACTAATATGCATTTAAGGATAAACCACTGTATTAATGAGAGACAGAGGAAGAGAAACAGACAGCTCAGCTCTCTTGTGGCACTGAGATCTAACACTTTATGTCATGCTCTCTGATCTGCTTCCATGCTGACCAAAGGCCTATATCACCAAAGCTGGAGTTGTCACTCACCTTCCCAAACAGAGACACAGGATACAGGCCTAGATGAAGCATCAGGACCTGCACCAGAGGTGGCACTTAACCTGCCGCAGGGGCGCAGAGCATCTGTCAAAACAAGTTTTGCACTGAATGGCCTCAAGGAATCACTAAAGCGTGATGCACTCTAGCATCTTTCTCCCAGTAACGTTCACGGGCCTCATTTTTACACTGGTGTAACTTTGTGGGCATCAGTTGAGTTACTCCTCATTGGCACTTGTGTACATGAGACCAGAATCAGGCCCACTAATAATAATAATTTGGACTCTTAGTCCAAATAAATTTTTCTTTCTTTCTTTCTTTCTTTCTTTCTTTCTTTCTTTCTTTCTTTCTTTCTTTCTTTCTTTCTTTCTTTCTTTCTTTCTTTCTGACAGGTCTTAACAGGAGACCTCTGAATAGGAGTAGGAAACTGACTTAACAGAGAGTGCAGGAATGTAGAGAGCTATCACTCATTTCCAAACATCTCACAGGGAGATTTTTCCTGTTAAGATGCTCTTAGCCACTTAAAAATACTACTTTATGGACTCATCATCATAACTCCCTCAAAGCAGGGTCTAAGGGATGTCCTATGTGCAGAAATCAGGGAGTCAAATGCTACCTTTGAGGATGAGCTATGGGGGCAACGTCTCTGGTTTTTCTCATGACTTTGGTCCCAGTAAAAGACACTGGATTGCCAGTTCTGGAGAACAATTTCCCTTCATTTACTCCTGGGGCAGGTGGAATAAGGGAGCAGCAGTGAAATCTTCCTCGATACTGCCACCAGACAGGGGCACCATGCCAAGCAGAAGAGAGGCCCCTCTAGGGTTGACCCTGGGTGGTCCACCCAGCTCATGCTCTTTCTGCAGAGATGGCCAACAGCAAGCATCTGTTGTGGTGGGTTTGGGGGAAAGAACTGAAATGAGACCCCCTAAACTCAAGTCACAAAGGGCCACCAAACAGCCACCAGCCAATAACAGCTACCAACTCGGGTTAGATTTCAGCTGGTGCTGCAGAGACCAGGATGTTTTACAAACATTATTGATCCCAGCTATCTGTTTCAGCCCGAGGGACTCTCTTATCTCCAGAGTTTGGTAGGATTTCCTCCATCCTAGCATCCCTGTCTTAATACACTAAGGAGCTGTTTCACAGCAGTGTAAACTGTCTGTACTCAGGCTGCAACCTGAGTTCTGGGACCCTCCTAGACCCCAGGCCCTAGCCCAAGACCGAATGTCTACACCACAATTAAATATCCCTTTAACCTGAGTCCCATGAGTCAACTATTACAGGCCTATCCCGGTGTCTAATTGTGTAGACATACTCATTGTGGTCTCATATTGGTGCTTGGTCCTCTGCCCTGCATTTAAAGCCCTTGCTTAGTCTACAGAGAATGAACGTTCAGTCACTGAGAGGTGCGGTTTCCATCAGCATGAAGTCAGCAGCTCTGTGTCCTCCAAGCAGGCCAGGTCTAGACCTGGGCTGGAAACTCTTTTGCTTTTGAGATTTTGTGTTTGTTTCCTTGCTCTGAAACAGAACAAAAAGTTCACAAATTCTTACAAACCGATCATCCAAAAAATATGATGATAATAATTGAACTGGGTCCATTTTGATGTGTTGATGATGATTCGGTGTTTCCTTTCAATTCTGACTTTTTTTTTTTTTACTTTGAACCTTTTTTAAAAAAAAAATAGAAACATTACAAAATGAAAAATAGTTCTGAACTCAACGATGAAATATTTTGTTTCGAAATATACCAAAATGGGATATTTCTACCATTTTTTCCCAACCAAATTTTGAATCAGAAGATTCATCCAAATGGATCCTTTCCCACAAACTGTTTTGGTTTCCAACAAATCAGTATTTTCCTGACAAAAACGTTTTGTCAGAATGTCCCTGGCCAGTTCTATCCAGAATTAGAAGTTTACTGGACACTGCCACTGTAGAGGGATATTTCTACCATTTTTCCCAACCAAATTTTGAATCAGAAGATTCATCCAAATGGATCCTTTCCCACAAACTGTTTTGGTTTCCAACAAATCAGTATTTTCCTGACAAAAACGTTTTGTCAGAACGTCCCTGACCAGTTCTATCCAGAATTAGAAGTTGACTGGACACTGCCACTGTAGACTACAGCTAATTTTGATTGTGAGGTGGGTAGGAGGTCAGACTAGCTGAACTGATGGTCTCATCTGGCCTTAAATTCTATGACTAACTTGTATTCCCTTTCCCTCCCTGTAGTTGTTTAATTCTTAGTTCTACATCCAATTCCCCTTTGGCTTTTCCACCATTTAAGCCTCAATTCTTCCCTCTTTCCATCACCAGGTAACAGGCTGGATGAAGGCTCAGATGTTGAGTCTGAACCGGACCTACCCTTGAAGCGCAAGCAGCGCCGGAGCCGGACCACCTTCACGGCCGAGCAGCTGGAGGAGTTGGAGAAGGCCTTTGAGAGAACCCATTACCCAGATATCTACACACGAGAGGAGCTAGCCCAAAGGACCAAGCTCACAGAAGCCCGAGTACAGGTAAGGACAAGAGTCGGAAATGGCTGAATCCCGGGATAATAGACCATCCAGAGAACTCTCTAGGCCCACTGACAAGGAGAAGGGGCCGCTTCCATTTATCCAGGAGGAGGAAGGGCCGGGAGCTGAAGGATGACATGATGGAAGTTCTATTTCTAGAGAACCAGGTGACTTGGGTCTGAGATGCACAGCTAGGATCCAGATCCAAAGTTTCTTCATAGTCCAAGGATGGTCCCATCTGGGATTTTGGTTTCACCCATTCAGTCCGGTTTGGGATCATGATCCGAACTTGCCCAAAGCTGATGGGGTGCTCACATCTGTGCATGGTGCCTTGAGTGGGGAAAGAGGCTGTATGTCATTTACCAAAGAGTGACAGGGGCTGCTTCTACCATTTCCCCTACCCCCGCCTCTCCTCTCCCCACCCTGGAGTTTGGCTCATTTTTTGCAAAGGTTGCAAATTCGGCGTGTGAATTTTTGTCTCTTTTTGTAAATCTCCGGAGAATTGGCGAAGCAAAGGGAGGGGAGGGGAGGAGGATGGGGAGAGAGCTATGACATTAACACCATTAATAGCCCTTATGGGAACTCCACACACAGACCCTTATGTCTTCCAGATAAAGGCTGGGTCAGCAGTGTGTGCAAACATGCCGAGGGATAAGGAGTGTGAACAGATCGGTGGGTATAATAGAGTCCCCCGGGGAAAGGGAAGGGGGGGGGCTGAGGATTGTGCTGGGCTAAAGAAGTGAAATGGAGACCCCAGCAGCCAGTGCGGGCAGAGCTATTAGGTTTCAGGCTCAGCACCAGGATCTCTGTGTGTCGAGCCCGGAGTTAAATTGCGGATGTGGGAGGGAGAGAAAGAGTAACCCCGTCTCATGCTGGGGAAACAGTTCTGCGGTTAAACAACTGTTGGGGAGCAAAACGGGCATTTTTCTGTCTTCAAACGACCAGACCACTCGTAGGGCTGCCTCCTCCCAAAACTGCCTCACGCATCTGGGACATCCACCTGGGTCACGGTCTTGCCCCCGCCACCTCTTTCACCAAAGGAGGTGGAGAGCCAGCAATGCTAGGGCTCACGGAGTTTCCCGTGTGTCATTTTGCCTCCCGCTGGCTTTTCCTGCTCGATGCAGGTTCTCTGAAAGCAGCCAAGACTCGGGCTCCAACTCACAAGTTCAGTGACTGCAGCATGTCCCCTGGAGCCACCTAGTGTCTCTCTGGGCCTCAGTTTCCCCTTTGGGATCATGGAAACGATGACATTGTCCTACATTGTAAAATGGTTTGAAGCCTATTGCTGGAAAGCTGTATTGGAGAGGGAAGGGATTATTATTATCTTCCTGGGAAGGGAAGATCTGACCCATTGGACCTTGAGCTAGAAAAGATTCCCTGTGTTGGGGTGAATCCTTCTCCCTGTGAACACAGGCTGAATTGCCCCAACAGATGTAGCGGGCATTAGAGCGGTACTAGATGTGACCTTAGCCCAGAGGGTCTTCCTGAGATTTTAGCAATAATAATGCCCCCTTGTGCACAACGAGCCCAATCCAACTCCCACTGAAACTCATGGAAACCTCCTCCCCACCCGCTGCCCGATAGCCTGCGGTGAGCATTGGATCAGACCCTATGCTGCTCCAAGCGTTTATCTTTCGCTCTGCATTGGGCTAGGTAGCTCATCCTCTCAGTTTACAGCACATTAGTGGAGGAAGCCCATCTAAGGTAACTGGTCCAGAGCAGACGCGGCAGCAGCAGCAGCAGCACTGGAATGCTGCTTTATTTCCTTATGGGCAAGGCCAGCACAGTCACGGAGCTGGGAGCCCAGCTCTGAGTGCCCTTCTCCAGGACAGTCAGCATGGGGCAGAGACGGAGACACGTCCCTGGCTCGAGGGTGGGCCGGGAAGAGTCTCCATGTTAGCGGTAAGCCAGCAAGGAGAAGGCAGCTCCACTAAACAGGAGCACCACGAGATCTTCTGAGCTCTTGCAAATTCTCCACTCCCCCACCTGCTCCCAAAGCATGACACGCTCCACCCGGCTTGGCTGTATGGACGGCAGGGGTTTAGGCTGGAGGTAAACTGCAAAGGGCGCTTGCGTGCCCCTGGCCTGATTTACTTTGGCTGATAAAGACAGAGTAACAAGAAGTGAGAAACAAGAAGTGAGAACGTGCAGGTAGGCCAGAGAATGGTGCTTGGGGTGGGGGTGGGGGACTTCTACTTGGGCAAAGGCTCCTACCCCCATTTTTAGGGTGACATCTGTAGTCAGTGTACTGTGGTGGGACTGGCAGGGAGCGGAGGGAAAGTGCCAGCGAGCTCCAAATCCTCCCCACCGCTCTGCCAAGCCTTCTAATCCAGGCGCCCACGCAGCTGGAAGAGCCGCCCTGTGAACCAGCGGCAGGTTCCTTCCTTCCGAGGAGTTCCAGCCGGAGAGCGACGAGGGGGTGGAGGGAAGCAGAGCCCACAAAATAAATAAATAAATAGCCCCCTTCCCTCAGCTCAAGCTGTGGTCTCTGAATCCCTCTCCTGGCTCCCAGGCAGCTGTGGGCGGAGGGGAGAAGGCTCCTGCCAGAGTGCTGGTAGCAGCTGTTCTCCGAGGCACATTCCTGATGGCTTTTTCATTCCGACATCCTGGCAGGCTCGGCTTCTTCCCACCACTTTTAAGCCTGCCGCCCCTTGTAAAATTTTCTGGATATCAAGAGTGGACCTTTCACTGGCTCTCAGGAGCCACAAACATTAGTCAATCAAGTTGACGCGGAAAACACACACACACACACACACATATTCATAACACTGCTGCCCTTTCCCCCTCGCTTCCCAAATGCTGCAGCCAGAGTGGATGTCTATTAGCAGTAGGTGATAGTGACATTACAGTAATGGGCAGAGACCCCAGACAACATCATTGTGCTAGACACTGTGTGTGCGCATACACACACACACACACACACACACACACAAAACATACAGTGTGAGAGAGAGTCCGCACCCCAAGGCATTCACAAGGCAAAAAAGACAAAAGAAAGCCAGAGGGTACAGAGAAGGGAAGTGTTTTGCCCTCTGTGACATAGCTGATCCAAGATCTCCTGAGTCCGACCTAATGCCTTACCCATTGGGCCCCACTGCCTCCCAGAGCAGCTAGGCTGACTTCCTACAAGAGAGAAGCAGTGGAAATTCCCCCAGTCAGAAGAACATGTGGTCAAGCTAAGGCACACTCTGGTTGTGTCTAGACTGGCAAGTTTTTCCACAAAAGCAGCTTCTTTTGCGGAAAAACTTGCCAGCTGTCTACACTGGCCGCTTGAATTTCCGCAAGAACACTGAAGATCTCATGTAAGATCGTCAGTGTTCTTGCGGAAATACTATGCTGCTCCCGTTCGGGCAAAAGCCCTCTTGCGCAAATCATTTGCGCAAGAGGGCCAGTGTAGACAACTCAGATTTGTTTTGTGCAAAAAAGCCCCGATGACTAAAATGGCTTTTTTGTGCAAAAGCGCGGAAAAGCGTCCATGCCAATCTAGATGCGCTTTTGCGGAAAAGCGTCCGTGCCAATCTAGACGCGCTTTTCCGAAAATGCTTTTCACAGAAAACTTTTCCGTGAAAAGCATTTCCGGAAAATCATGCCAGTGTAGACGTAGCATCTTAGTATAGGCCGACTAGTATTATTTGTATTACTGTAGCATCTCGGAGCCCCAACCCTGGGCAGGGATCTCATGGTAGTAGCACTGTTCAAACACAGGATGAACCCAGTCCCTCTTCTGTCTCCCTTCCCCTTGCCTCTCAC